AATGAGGGGTTAAGATGTGAAGGGGAAGAACAATAAGATCAGAACCATCTTCTGTTCTGGTGTCAGGTGCCAGAGAAGCAGGGTAGAGGAGTCTGGGAAGTGGGGACATTGTGATGTGACCTCATAGAGCGTAGAGAGGAAATGGTTTAGCATATGCAAGTTCAAAACAGTAGCCAGTTCCTAAGCCCTTGTCACTAGCATCACCGACCTAGAACAGGAGAAGCTGAACCAGCGAGGTGCAGTCAGTTTCCCTGAAGATTTTCCAAAGTACTGTAAGCATGCATTACTTTTTCCCCATTATGTACATTATTTCCCCTTTAGAGCATGTTAACAATAAAATTAATTAATGAAGGAGACATCCAGGTGATAACATGAATCCAGAGCTTGAGCTTGGCAACATCTGGCTGCAGACACCCGAGGAGCAGACACCTGTTGCCATCGGCCACAGAAGGGGGTTTACAAGCTTCAGCGTGGGTGGGTGGTGATGTGCTCTGCTTTGTGGGTACAGCAACAGGAAGACATTCTGCTCAACGTGTCCACGAAGCAACCGGAGACAAGGAACACGAGCTCAGTGATTAATGAGGATTCTCCTTGATTGAAGATGGGGCTGGAAATGTAAATTTAGGAGTCATTAGCATAGCAGTGATGTTTAAAGCTATGAGAATGGATGAGCTCTCCCAGGGTGAGTGTTAAAAAAATAGCAGGCAGATAGACGTTGGCTTCTGGAAGGTGGAGGAAGGAGTGGGGAGAAAATCGGCAGAGGAAGCAGGAAGCAGAGGCAGGGTGGGGAGCAGAGTGGCCGGCGGAAGGCAGGCAGGACCTGCAGTAACATCAGCCGTGACCTTGAAGCTGAGCACGGAGAGAGGTTGCCGTGGAGAAGACAGCGGGGGTTGGGGAATAGATACAAGATGGCCTTTATGGTGGGTTAAAGCGCAGCACTGAGAATCGAAAGCCGCTTCCGCATGAGTTGGATCCCCGCCTGCCCAGGAGGTGACCACATGGCGCGGCAGACCTCTCCTGACCGCCCGCTGCTCCCCTCAGCAGTGGACTTCGTCGATCTGCCTGTTCTGCTCCCCGCTCTGTCTCTGGTGAAGCCTCTCACCGCCCCTGTACCT